TTATAGATAAGAATCAATCATTATAATTTAAATCAAGTAAACTAATCCACTGTTTTACCTTTAAGATTATATTATATATATTTTTGACTTGGTTCAAAGAATATATCTTATATTTGTTGAACAGATGGCAATATAGATAAAATGCTATTGATATATATTAATGTGTAAAATAAAGTTACAACAATTGTTTATATAGCCTGAAGCTAAACTAACTGTCTAATAATTATAACTAATTTCTAGCAGCGGGTAAATGTACATAGTTAACGGATATTATACATTCAGAATTCTCAAACACTCCTCAAGTTAAGGGGTGAAAAATGTCTTTAATCTCCAACTTGGTTGTTGGACTCCGAATGCTTTAGTGAGAATGTCTTTAAGCTGTTCTGCAGAAGAAACATGCTTTGCTTGAATTAAACCCTTCTGTATTTTTCTCAGACGAGATGACAGTTAATTTCGAAGTGTTTCGTCCTCTCGTGAAACACAGGGTTTGAAGCAATCTCAAGAGCAGCTTTGTTACGTGCACTGCCTGGAAATTTATCGTTGCGTTCGTGAGGAACCTTCCGACTAAGCAAAAGTTAAAATATAGTTGCGATATACCCCCGAGTCTCCCAAGTTCAAAGCCCCCCCCCCCCCAATTGAAGATTCTCCAATTTCTGTTCAATTTCTCCCATGGAAGATCCTCCTCTCCTATTCCAAAACCCGCCCTTCCAAGACACTAACACGAACAAAGAAACAGAAACACAAGGAATATTGGAAACACAGCCCAACAGATTACCACAAAGGTAAAAGACGGCTCATGAACGGCTGCGAGAAAAAGAAATAAAAACCCTAACGCAGAGGGTTAATAATAATTAAATAGTTTGTATAACGTTTGTAATCAATTTGTAATTTACAATGATAATAATTAGATAACTATTATTTATCTTAAAGTTAAATCTCCCATGTATCTTTTAATGCTGAAAATATATATTCTAATATTAAAAACCATCTGAAAAAACAACTTTAAGTAGAAAAAAAAACTAAAATAATAATTCAATAACTTTGAACTATACTAGGATTACAATATGAAAACAATATCGGAATCTTTGATAAAAAATATTAAAATAAATTAAACATTTAAAGTTTTATTTAAATTCATATAAAATTTCTAATAAAATAAAAAGACTAATTTTTTTTAATAATTGAACCCTAAAAAAATAAAATCAATTGATAAGATAATCGGAGACAATTATTGAGATATTATAATATGTTTATGATTAGAGAAAAAAATTCTGAGAAATAACAAGAAAGCGGTCAGGGCAGAAAGCTGACGAGCAATCAATAATAAAGAAAAGAAACCAATTCAGATAAGTATAGGATCTCTCTCTTTGGCTTTTGGCGAGGCCAACCCCACACACCACCATTTTTGAACACGTCACCCGCCAGAGACCGCCCTTTCGTGTTTGGATAAGGACCTACTCCCCTTCAACCCTTCCTCTATAAATAGTCTTCTCCTTTATTCGTGTAATCCCTCCATCTATACCATTATCTGTTATTGTTTCTCAATCAATCAATTCCTGCTTCTTTTATCTGTCCATCGTTTAATCTTAATATTTGTCAAGGGATTCGAAGATTTCGGTATTTGGTTTGATCTTGTAGTTTGCGATCAATGGCGAGTGCTGTAGGGATGGTGGGTGGGAAGGGCTGTTCTTGGTGGTTGCAAGTTAAGGGGAAGAAGAAGAAGAAGACGGTGAACGGAGTGAGAGTTTGTTGTTCTTATTCTTCTTCGGTTATGGATCCTTACAAAACTCTCCGGATCCAACCCGGAGCCTCCGAATCTGAGGTCAAAAAGGCCTTCAGGCAACTTGCCCTTCAGGTATTTTGATTTTAATACGATTTTTTATTACCCGTTGATTTGATTTTGTCTTCTTCGATCTGATCGTGTGTTTTTTGGGGGGATTAATTTCAGTATCACCCAGACGTTTTGCAGAGGAAACAATTGTGGGGTCCAGTTTCAAACGATCAATGAAGCTTATGATGTATGTATCTGTTTTGGGGTTTTTTTTATGATTTAGTTTTAATTTGGTTTCACTAATCAGAAACTTACAAAAATAGAACGGATATCTGAAAATGCAGATAGTGATGAGTCGAGTGAGAGGGGAAACGAACGCAACAGAAGCATACGAGGAAGAAATAAAGGAGGCGATGTGGGGAATGGATGAATCAGACGGGGATTTGTGGGAAGAATGGATGGGTTGGGAGGGAGCTGGAATTCGTGATTATTCTTCCCATATTAATCCTTACATTTGATCAGCGCCGCACTGTATATTATTCCCCCCCCCCCGGCGGGCAAATGGGCCTCCTTTGTATATACAAATCATTCCAATTGCACTAAATTGCTCTTGCAAAAAAAAAAATGATAAATAAATAAAACTCTTTTTATCTTCAACTTAACCGTTAGTTGTTCTGAGATTTACGGAATTGTTAATAAATAACCGTCAATCAAATTTGGGTTTACATCTCACAATCTGATTATCCAACCTTGCAATTAAGAAATACAAATAGAATCAGAATGCAGAAAATTGGTAAAGATTAGGGACTTTTATACTGGGATAAATTTTTAATAAAAACAATAAAAGTTTGAAAAAAAAGATTTTCAATAAAAAATATAAAAGAAAATTAAAATATACTATTGATTTTAAATTTCCAGGAGCTTGCTCATTCGGTATTTTTCCCGATAAAGATGAATTAAAAGTAGAAAATAAGAGACATGGTGGCCCATTGGCAATCACATCCGTTGATGTGCACTTGCATAAATTTGACTAAAGTTACTTGTACGGGTCGCTTCATTCAAATCTGACTTGTACCACTCGCCGAAGAGATTTCTAACTTCATCACCGTGGAGCTTTAAGCCTCAACCTTATCCATATCAAATTTAACATTATATATGTATACATTTCTTAAATTGAATCAATATTATAGATTATATCAAAAAATATAGGTTTACATATAAAATTTAAGTATGAAAGGAACCAAATATCAATAAAATTTTGGCTCTTATAATTAGTTATACATGTATTCTGTAATTTTTGAAAAAAAAACATATTAAAAAGTAAATAAAAATAAGATTGGTATAAATTTGAGAACTTATTTTCTTGAAAAATATGTGCAAGAAAATATGAAAGCCACTGTCATTGAAATTTAGAGGTTTATAAGCGTCATAATAATAAGTAGGATGGCATATACCATTTAACTTATAAGGATATTCTATAAAAACAGCAGCAATTAGAAGTTGTTAGTCAAATTTGGGTTATTTGACTGAGGTTGGTGAATAAATCATTAATGGTTAATAGAAAGAAAAAGGCAAACTGCTTCCCCATGAAAGGAAGGAACTTCTAAACTTTTATATTAAAATTCATTTTAAAATCAAAATTCGTCTCACCCAATTCCCTTTGTCTATGGCCAGGCTTTTATCAGGAGATTCGTAAATTTGGACGAATTCTCGGCCTAATCCAAAAGCCTTTTAGTTTATAAGACGATCAGATTTAATTGATCTCGAATAGTTGATTTTTGGCTTGTGATGCATGATCGGTTACTTACTGATGTTGAGCGTAATCGGAGACATCTCTCCAACTCTACCGTCTGCAAGATTTGTGGAAGAGCTGCTGAGGACATTGACCATGTGCTTCGCCATTGCATTTCAGCTGGAGCTATTTGATCGAGAGTTATCCGAACAGATAAATATGCTGACTTCCTTTCACTGCCTTATCTTGAATGGATTGAGGTCAATCTATGCTCACCAGGCACGTTTGCCATCAATGATGATGACTGATCGACTCGTTTTGCTGTATATTGCTGGCACTTATGGAAGCATCGGTGTAGCGTTATTTTTGATCCGGAGTATGTGAAAAGGGAGGATTTATTTAATCGTTGTAATCGGTTAACTGCTGAAGTTGCAAGAGCAAATGAGCAAACTGTAGGTACAAGCCGGTTTATCGTTCAATTTCCTTTGAAATGGCATCGACCACCTAGTGGATGGATTAAAGCCAATTCGAATGGAGCAGTTGATCCTGGTGATAAAACTGCGGCTGCTGGAGGTCTTCTCCACAACCATGAAGGGGATTGGATCTTCGGATTTACTCGAAGTCTAGGAAGGTGCTCCACTATCATAGCTGAGCTTTGGGATACCCATGACCTTCTTTTGCATGCTTGGAGGGCAGGGTTCAGATTTGTGGAACTTGAAACGGATAATAGCGAGGTTGCCCGTATCTACAACAAGAAGTCCGAGGCTCTTGCTGGAAATGCTCTAATCACCACAATTCAACAAATTCGGGATCGTGATTGGATCATAAGAATTTCTCATGTTCTTAGGGAACAAAAGGAGGCAGCCGACAGGTTGGCGGCGTTGGGCCGAGGTGCTCCTATTGGTACTACTGTCTTTTACGAACCTCCGGTCGAAATCTCCTTGCTGGAACGCATGGAGTCTAGATAGAATATTACTTTGCTGTTAATAAAAATAATGATTTTTATTAACATTATATAATTTTATAATACACTAACGACTTAATTTTTAGCTAAAAAAACTTTTTAAAAATATAAATTAAGAATACTTTGTATCGAATGCTTTCTTTTAGCATTACAAATGAAGTTGAGTGCTTAGAAGATGCAAGAGTTTGTATCAGAATTCAGAGCTTGCCAAAATTTCTTACCCGCCTGGTAATTTATAAATATAGGTGGTTTGGTACACAATTTTGTCAATTACTAGAAAAGAAAAAGAAGAAGATTATCCGTGGATTGAAACTAGAAATAAAGATTATAAAACAGTTGAAAGCATGCCTCATGTTCTCTCTCCTCTTAGGGATTGAGAAATGGGTAATCAGTGTAACCGATGAGTGGATCAGATCGTGTATAGATAGTATTACTGTCATACTTATTAAGAGACTCAAATCTCCTTGCCAACTCCCGATTGGCCGAAAACAACCGGCCGTATAGCCTACGGCAACAATGAAAGAGCCCCGTTCTCATTGGGACAAGACAGTGAGAGCATTCACCACTCTCATTCTTGATTCCACCATATGGCAGTAGAGTAGGGAATTCCGAATTTGTTCAAGGCAGAGGCCTAACACTGCTTCCGTGTAATCTGCATTGGGAGATTGCCTTATTCCAACTTTATCCGCTCCCATTTCGTTGACAATCTCCAAGGCAAATCGGCAACGCTTTTCTAGTGATCCTCCATATTGCTTCGTTGGATCATTCCCTTCATCTTTCAAAAACTGTTCTATTAGGTAGCCATGAATCTCAACTCCATCAAACCATGTAAATCAGCCACAAAAGTTAGCAGCCATTCTGTAATTTTAAAGAATCTAAGAATCGTCAGCATTATTTCATTTTTCTGTTCACAATCTAGAAAAAATGAACTTACCTTCTTCCATAGCATTCCTTGCTGCAATTCTGAAATCACTGACAATCTGCTGAATTTCATCTGTCCATAATAGCCTCGGAGGTGAGTACTCTGTGACGGTTATCAATGGCTTATCTGTAGAAGAGATTGGATCTTCTCCATTTGGCTGAAAACCTGCAAACACTATATGTCATAGACTATTATGCGTCCAATGTCATCACATGGGTTAGATTTTGACTCAATTCTTAATTAGAAATTTTGTTAGATTTTATTGTAATGTATTGGTTAAAAATTAATTATTGATTAGATTCATTTAATTAATAATTCTTATTAAATAATTTTTTTTGTTTACCAAATATTTAACTTTATAAAGATAGAACGTATATTAACATTTATAATCATGAGAAATAAATATTTTGGAGAGATTTAATTATTTTATAGTCTTAGTAATTTTTAGGTTTATGTTGATGATATAAGTTTTGTAGAGATACTAAGAGAGTGGCAGAGCTTATTAGTCCAGGTTAGTTCCTTCTCTTCTCTCGTGTTTTCGTGCACCTAATTTTCATGAACTTCTTTATTGTCACCTAGATAAGAGGTTTGGGTTGTAAAGCCTCGAAACTCGGGTTAGTAGTTTGAGTCAATCCGAGATTCATTTTAGAGCCCAAGAGATTTATTAAAATAGTTTGGACCAAGTTTATTTGGGATTGAGCTGAGTTGGACCTAAAAGAATTATAAAAGGTGATGATAATACCATGATTTGAAAAGTGTACAGACTTAAAGTGTAATTTACCCATTTTTATTTTGAAAGCTATAACCCCTTGTTATAAGCAAGTTTACGTCAACTACCCCATATTATCTTACCAACTCTTCTTCTTCTTTCTTCCTCTTTGTTTCCTTTTTACAAGTGGAGATTTTAAGCTTTACAAATCTAGTTTGGCTTATCTAAGGTAAGATTCTTAATCCTTATCTTCCTAGCTTCAATTCAAGCTCTATTTTTTCAAGTTTTAAACTATAGTTTCAAAATGGTTTTTTGGGAGGTTTGATAGAATCTAATGATTCTAAGTTATTGTTGTTAGATTCAAGATGCAAGAAGTGCTCTAATTTATATGTACAACACTGAGTAAACTTAGAAATTCCTATTTCTTATCATTGAATAGTGAAAGAAGTTGGAGAAAGTTCAAAAGCTAAGGAAATAGGGAAAACAACTCTTCAGTGAGTTGGGGGTTAGCCATTAGCTAAGAGCTTTGAGGTAACCACATTTACAACTCTTTTATACACTCTAGTAGGTCATTTTGAAGTACAAATTGCATAGAGATTTAAATGAAAGCTTGATGAGCATGATCATGATAGATGCCATATTTTATGTTTTTAATATGTTATAAAGCCTTATTTATGATCCTTATTGACCATATAAGACACTAAATACAAAGGAACATCATTGTAGCAATGTGAAAGAGATTGAGTGTGAAATTCGAGCCTAAGTAAGGTCTTTTCGAGTAGGGTATCGGTACTGTAAGAACAATACTGAAATTGTTCTTCAAGAAGAGTAAAATTTGTTTAGTTTTAACAGGAATATCGATACTTCTTCAAAGGGTATCGATATTAGGAATTTTTAAAAACATCGAAGCTAAAATTGGTATCATTATTCATGGGAGTATCGATACCTAGTGTAGAAGTATCGATACTCTCCATAGGAGTACCGATGCTGAGATTATTTTCTAAATATTGAATCTAAATTTAGTATAGGTACCCCGGTTAGTATCAATACTCTAGCTTGGAAGTATCGATACTAGACGATAAGTATTGATACTATCATTCTTCAAAGCATGTAATAATAGGGCAGATTATCGATACTTGAGGCAAAGTATCAATACTTATAAGTTAGTACCGATACTGGTCTTTCAGTATCGGTATCAACATACATATTAAGTTATGGTTTTTCAGGGGATTGTAATGGAGAAATGAAGTTCCCAAGAACTCTACAATTACTCTCAAATAAAATTACAAGTCACAAGGTGACAAGTATAGAACCAGTCTGGATATTCTTAGGAAGTGCTCAAGGCACTTTAAATTGACTAGCTAAGTCATAAGGTTCGACACTCGCAAGGGGTGGGCTAGTCGAGGGTGTGGTGTCAGATATGCAGAGATTTCAGAGGCCACATCCTCGGTAGACTAGAGGGGTGTGTGAGCTCCGAGATGTAGAGATCCCTCAATCGCACCATGATGTCTACCATGGCGTAGAAAGTGAGTATCACAAGGATACTCACTAATGTTTCAGATACGAATAAATTCATTATACCTTTTTATCAATTGTTTATGTTATAAATTAACCCTGTTAGTATGTTTTAGTTGTTAGTGTGGCACTGGGCTAATTAGCTGAGCGTTTGGAATTTGTTTCTTTACGCAAATTAGATGAAGATCAGTAGAGGAGCTTTTTGACCAGCAGTGATCCAGACCAGATCCAGAGCAGAGTACGTCTCGAGTTCTTTAGAGGGTATGTATATTTGTAAATCCATATTTTGTTAAATCGAGTCTCTACAAGATTGTAGCCAAAGTTTTATCAGTAAGATTGTCGTCTTGCATCCATGAAGTTATTGGAGAGTTCCAGTTCGCCTTCACCTCGAGTAAGTAAAGAGCGAACGTTTCTTTCATTGCCAACGAAGTAATTGAGGAGCAATCTCGAAAGAAAAAGGATGCACTGGGTTTTAAAGCGAATTTCCACAAAAGCTTAAGACTCAATTGATTGGTTCTTCACAAATTTCATAATGTAAAAAATGAATTTCGGAGAGAGTGTGAGAAAGTGGATGAAGCTATGTTTATCAACCACAACTATCTCTTTGTTAAACAATGGTTCTTCCTCTAACAAATTCAAGATTAAAATAGGGGCTTAGACAAAGCTGTCCCCTATGGCCCTATCCCCTCTCCTCGTCAATCTGAGCGGGGAAGCGTTGAGCTCTCTTCTCTATGGAGTTATGTGTATAGGCTTATTCTATGGTATGTTGGTAGGGAACAACGGACTTCGCATCTCTCACCTTAAACTTATTGACTACTTGATAATTTTATAGGAAGTGAAAGAAGGTTTCGTGCAAAATACTGAGAATCTTCGAGCTAACTTCGGGCTTGAAATAAAATGTCAAAAAAACCATGCTATATGTGGTTAATGTGGAGCATTCAGGAGTACAAAAGTAGGTTGTCCTCACCAACTGCAAGAGCGATCAGTTACTTGCTACCTACTTGAGACTACCTTTTTCTTCAGGAATTCATCTGTTATGTGGAAGTCGATTGTCGAAAAATTTTACAAGCGTCTGGACGATTGGAAAGGGAAGGTATTATCACATTATGGACGTATTATTCTAGTCAAATTTGTTATCCAAAACCTACTGATTTACGTCCTATCTCTTTTCCACATGCCAAAAGAGGTGGCCAATTCCCTGAATAAATAATTTCAGATTCATCTGAGGATCGACCAGTGGAAGAGGAATTCAGTGGATAAAATGGGAGCAGCTCTGTGAACTAAAAGCCTTCAGCGGAATGGGAATAAAAAATAAATAGTGAAAATATATTTGTTATAATTTTTTAAAATAGAGAGGAATAAATATTTATTAAAATTAAATTAAAATATAATTATTAAAGAATTTATTAAATAAATTTAACATGTAAGTTATACAACAGTAAAACAATATAGTTTAAAATAAATTTCAAAATATAAAATTTATTTTAGTTTATAATAGGAATATAATGTTAATTATATTGGACAACGATTAAATCTAAAAAAATACACAAAAATATTATTGTAAATAAGAGCACACAAAATCATCATTAAAATAAAAATATATTTAATGGTATTTAAGTCCCTCCAACTTTAGAAAAAAAAATAGTGTAGCCCTTGAACTTTTTTACACTCAATGTGACCCTTAAACTGACAAAAAATTTATAATCTTTTAACCAACACAATCAAACCGCCACGACGCTTACATGACAATACACAAAGCTTACATAGTAATCAACAATTGTAATGTGATAGTTCATGATGTTGTGGCGATACAAATGGATGATGATATAGTAGATGAGTTTAATAGAATTTTTACTAAGTTCAAAGGTCGAATTGATTTTTCAGAAAATTTGTGGGCTTATTTAATTTTTAGAAAAATTAAAATATTATTTAAATTTATAATATTAAATATAAACAATTATTATATATTCAATACATTAAATATAAAAATTCTAAAAAAATATTTAAAAAATCAGTTTAAGAACCACATTGATTGTAAAAAAAAGTTCAAAGGCCATATTGATATTTTTTTGGTTGCAAAAGTTTGAGGGGTTTAAATATTATTAAATCAAAAAATTGTTATTAGAAGGGTTTGAAGTTAAGTTAAAAATCTAAATCTCATGATTTCTTATTTTTAAAATTTTAAATTAAATTTAATGAAAATACTAAAAACATCTTTTTATGTTTTCATATTTTCATTATTTTTTATTTTACAGAAATCATTTTTTAATTTTATAACCAAGTGTTTTCCTCATGTTTTTTATTTTCTAGAAAATGAAAATTAAAATAACTAAACTTTCTAAAAAAAATGGACCCTTTAGATGACTAAAGTATAAAATTATTTTTTATTAATCTAAGGTAATTATAAGATAATATTTATTTGAAAGAACGTTCAAAGAGTGTTTCTCAGGTCCCTGTTGTTTGCCAATTTTAAGTGTATCCTCCTTTTTATTGGGTTTTGATTTGGACTTTCTTTTGTTAGGCCCATGTTTGTTTGGATCTTTCGAGCAAGATGTTCTCGAGTTTTAGAACCACGCTTATTGTTGTTCTAATGAAATTGCCTCATTCATGAAAAATTCTGATATCCGTTTCACGGGGAGCTAAGAAGCTCTTTCGTACTCTGCTTGGCATGGCATGAGTGAATAAATACTAATAAAAAAATTCTTGATGGGTTAAAAATCATAAATTCAAAAGTCGGGGATTTTATTAATACAAGTGGTCTGGAAATAATGACTATTATAACTGAAAACATGTCTCTTGTTGTCCCCTTGGGGATCTTAAGCATTGCCATTAGCTTCAAGAAACGGGTAATCAGTGTAACCAGTGACCGGATCGGATGTGTAGAATGTATTCCTGTCATACTTATTAAGAGGGGCACCAAGCTCAAATCTCCTTGGCAAATCTGGATTGGCAAGAAACGATCGACCATAGGCAATAAGTCCGCTCGGTTCTCAGCCACGGCATTGTTTCCATCATCTCTACCGTAACATCCAGCAGCAATGAAAGTGCCATTAAAATTTCTCATTGGCACAAGACTTTGAGGACATTCACTCACTTCTCCCCACTGGTTAATTCTGGTTCCACCATGTGGCAGTAGAGAATCCCACATTTGTTCAAGGTCTCAACCATGTAGAGGCCTAATGCTTCCGGATTTGAGTCCCCTGCTTCCATGAATTCTGCATAGGGAGATAGCCTTATTCCAACTTTATCTGCTCCGATTTCATTCACAACGGCTTCAACTATCTCTAATGCAAATCGACAACGGTTTTCCAGTGATCCACCATATTGGTCTGTCCGATCATTCACTTGATCTTTCAAAAACTGTTCTATTAGGTAGCCATGAGCTCCATGAATCTCAACTCCATCAAATCCTATAAATCAGCCACCAAAGTTAGCAGCCATTCTATAATTTAAAGTATCTAAGAATCCCCAAATTTCTTTTATTGTTTACAATCTAGAAAAAGAACATACCAGCTTCCATGGCATTCCTTGCTGCAATTCTGAAATCATTGACAATTTGAG